TATATCTCGTAAAAATTTGTTTTTATGTTTATTTTTGCGCGCATGAAATGAAATTTTTACGAGATTGAAATCATAGAAGCGCAAGCTACATAAATGTAATGTAATTTCATGGATTGCAATTTAATGCATATAACATACATATATAAAGTACATTTTACCATTTAATTGAATCGCCATGAAATATTCGATGATTCTATTAATTCTAGCTATTCCATTTAAGTCGATTTAATGCGCGGCGCGTAAAATAATTATATATTCCAATAATTATATATATACATATATATTTGAGGAAGGAATTTAATATACATTTTTCGCATGCAAAGCTCCAATTTAAGTAGCGAAATTCAATTTATTGCGGATTTTGTAAAATTACAACGAAAAACGACAATCGGGTTAAAAAAATTTTCGACATTCGTCAAGACAGATCGGCCAAGCGGTGGATCTTAATCGTACGATCTCTCGTTGTGTGACGGGCTTAAGGGTACATTCACCCGTCGTGGATTCTCCTCCGTCCTCCAGCGGCCGAACAACAACCGCGTGCACGCGAATTCCACGAGTTTTATTTAGAACATCGAATTATTCTAACGTGACGAATTCGCGCTCGCGTACGTGCGCGAGAGGAAAAAAAGAATAAAGGGATAAACAGATCGCAGTAGCGCAGGTCGTAGACAGCAGTAGACAGGCCGTAAACTCGAATCAATGAAGAGGCGTAGGGGAGGAAAGGGGACGCGTCGAGAAGGAGAGGAAGAGGATGACGAAAAAAATAGCGAATTGAAGATTCGGAGCGAAAAATTATCTTATATCTCCCGGATCTCTCTCTACTCCGGAGAAATTGAACTCTTCTCCTAGCGCTTACGCGTGCCTACTACACGTACGGCGGAGATAATGACACGCGTAATTGCTTTATCGAACGAACGAATCGGAAGGAGGAAAGAAGGAGAATTTTAATTAAAATTTTGCACGCCGGATAAAAATGCATACTTTAATTCGCCTCCACCGAGCAGGCGAATTAAAATTACGAAAATTACGGGAGGAGCGGGCGCGCGGTGTTCTTTGAACTATTACAAAGTAACGAGGCAGGACGCGTGCGCGCGCGCGCGCGCTATCTTTTTTTCGTTGGCGTTGGTAGGAAAGCAAAATCGTTGTTGCATCTGATAAAAGCCGGGTGGGCACGCACGCGCACGGACGTGCGCGTGTCGGTGTTGAACACACGTAAACAAGTCCGTCGCATTCCATGCGCGGACCGGGTATACCTGCTGCTGCACGTAATCACGCTCGAATAATTAATTAGCTTATTCTGCATTACTTAGACAGAGTTAAAAACATCTCGCCGTCTAAACTGGCTATACTGCTAGCGAAGAAATTTTTCATCACAACGAAATGTTCGTAAAACAAATGCGACGGCAATTCGGAGATAATAAAGTTCTGTTTTCATTTCGGGCGATTTAATTAAATATTTGCTTTCCGTAGAATTTAATAAAATCTTCTTATCGCGCAGCATTCTAGATTCTTTAAAGTCGATTAACTGTACTTCCGACAGCTTCGTATATAATATAATAATTAGTGTAAAATTTATTTCTCATCAAATTTATCGTTAAAAGATTGAATTATCGAATAAATATTATACATACAAATGTATATAGCTATGAGAAACAGAACTGGGTTAATCTTTTCAATATTCCTGAATACGAATTTCGATATATTCACGAATTAGTAATGTTATAAATAAATGTTAACCGTAGTTGGAATTTCTCATGACTTCACGCAAACTAATAGTGGTTACTCGAATAGCAAGTTTCGCGAAACGGATTCTCGTTGAGTTTGCGCCAACTTTCGATTGGCAGCATCGCGGAGTAAAAATAGAGAATGCAATGTAATCAACTTTGAATTGCGGAATAAACAATCTCGATAAAATTTTAATTAGAATTGAGTCGGTGGAATAATATAAAAGTATTATTGCAACGCGAATGTCGATTGCGATAATACGTAGATATAATTATTGGCTAATGCAGCCACATAGGTTCCGTTCCAATAATCAACAATATCGTGCGAATATTGCACCTGCACTAACATTCCTCTCCGTTCGAGATTAGTATATAATACAAATTTATTAATTACAAAAATTATTCAAATTATCTGGGTACTTAAATGTGAAAATTTAAAAAGTACAGTTAAACTAATAATAAAGAAAATAGCGTTAGAAAATTATTAAATGAGAGCATTAAGAGATTTTTTAGGAATTGGAATATTTTTTATTTTTGTATAACATGATAATAAAATTAAAGGCTTTCGGAAAATTTTTGTTTTTATGTAAAATATATATATATATCAATATTGAAAGAGAATAAAATTATATTATTTTAAATAACATTTTAATATAAATTATTATTACACATGCACAGAATACTCAATTGATTTATCTTGTTTCAAGTATATAAAGTGTGTAACGAATTATATTATTATTATATCTTCCAATTTCACAAATTTTATTTGAGATTTTGGTTTGTTTTTGAGAAATGATCCTCAATTGTTGGCAATGTATCTAGGAATTTCATGAAAATTTCTTTCGCCGTTGTAAAATAACCAAAAACCGGATTATCAGCAGCTGTTGGACAAATATTTTGCCTCGATAGTCAAGATGAAGCAAAGTCTCCATCTCAGTCGAGCTCATCAATCACGTCAATTACATACGACATGGTCGATTCGCGATAACACGCGCGCGCACAAGGCAGAATAAAAGGGCAAGATAAACATATACATACATATATGTACATACACATATATAATTATATAGATATATAAATATCTCGCGCGCGCGCGTGTGTGTGTGTCGCTCATTTATCACAATCACAACTGTAAACAAAGTTTTCCAGAAAATAAGTTTGAATGTTTTGAAACATTAAAATTTTGGAATATTAATTTTAAAATGTAATTTGGCGAAATAATTGATTTTAGAGAAATAAATGTAGGTAGGTTCTTCTTTTTTTTCTTTATATTTTTATTCTTTTTCTTTAACAAAAAAAATGACAATTTTACATTATACGTGATAGCAAATAAGCGATATATATGTATATACATGTATATATATATGGATACGTTACATAAATATTAAATAATTAGTATAAATAATATCGTTTTGGGAATGAGACAAGGAAAGCACTACAATGGCGCCGACTTAAGATAATGCTTTCTATCGCGTTGTTCGACATAATTATCGGCGAGAAAATGTTCAGTTTCCTTTCTGGAGCAATTACGAAGAACAAAGGGGTCAAAAGTAGCGGCCACAATTACAGGTTTCTATCTCTAGTTCGTAGTCTCTCTCTCTCTCTCTCTCTCTGTCTACTCTGTAGATTATACCCTACCCTGTTGTTTTTTAAGAAAGTGGCCATTACGAACAATTTCTGAACTCGCACGCAAACTCGAAGCAACGACGACGCGACAAAGGGAGATACCTACTATGTTACCGGCGCGTCCATAATATTATTCCCATCAAAGAACAGTCCACGCACCTTTCTCTAGGTTCACCTGTCAGTATTTTTTCTTTCATACGTTACAATGAGAGAGAAACAATATTTCTCTTCGCTGTAAATCGAACCCATCCTCTCGTCGCGTACTAATCGCGTATCGATCGTTTTGAGGGAGCGTTAAAAATTTTGTTGCGCGATTTCAAATGAAGAGAAAAATAGGAAAAAGTTAAATTTGATAAACAATGTCGCCAGGGACATATATTTTGCGCGTTTATAATTAATAAACAAACGTGGTAGAAAGGATCAAAGAGAACATTTTCGAGGGGCGGATACTGCAGATTACAATCGAGTTTTGGCTGTCCCTTTCGAAATAATCGGCCCTACAAACAGTGAAAATGACGAGCGAAGGGGTGCGCTTAATTGACGACGTCTCAATGGAACAACAGGGCGAGAGCGTGACGACCCCAAAAGCTACCCTAACGTTAGGTGAGGGGTTAGTCGAACGGTCGTATCCTTTCAGTCTTCGAAGTGGCTTTAAGACCATGCCAATATTTCACAAGTTTCGTTTGCCTGGCCTTTCCGCTCACTTATTCGCCCCGGGGGCGTTCAACGTATTTCCGCATATTTGAATAATGCTTCTTTCGTGATTCGCGTAATCGTTCGATTTGATCGCATGAAAATAGTTACACTGATGCGCGACGTCGCGATTACGTGATTATTGCATTATGATGCAGTCGACTGAATTAATGATATGTGTAGCGATATAACAACAATGTGCTGCATACATACAGCGCGGATATGCAAGAATATTTGTATTTATATTAAAGCAAGATAAATAACTTGGATATACACTCGTCTGTATTTTCAATGGGAAGGAACTCGAAATATTCGACTAACAAAATGGCAAAGGGCGGCATTCTATGAAATTTCCATATAGAATCATATGCACATTGAAATGCCACTGACAAAATAATACGAGATATAGAAAAATGATAAGGTCAACGTATCACACGATAGCTAGGTCTGTTATCGATGATGGTCGGCAAAGTAGAAATTATCATGGCGTAGCCGTGAAGCTTACGTGTGTCAACAGCAATAAAGCGTCGATGAAGCGACTTTAACGAGCCCCATTCAAATAAAAAACTTATCTCTAGACCTTTTAGAAACGTATTTTTAAAAAAATAAAATGATTATAAATCACAAAAGTACGGAAAGCTTAGGAAAGAAGGTTGTAAGTTGTAACACTTGTTAAAAATATGAAACTTTTGGAGAAAAGCTCTTCAAGTAAAAATCAAGTGATCAAGCAAATGAATGCTTTCCATTTTGTGATACAAGTTGACACAAGTGTCGTTCTACCTTTGTTACTCACTAAACGTCAATAATGTTTGTGTCGACTTGTGTCACTAAATGAAAATCATCCAATATCTCATTGAAACGACGTTCGTGTGTCCGCATTTAATTTGACCAGACTTTTTGTCAAAATTCCGTGCAAATTTGCTTCTCGTTCGTTTAGATAATTTTTAGAAAACATACCTCTCCGTGCGTGTCCCTCCTTCCATCCGGCGTGTTTTCAGGTAAGAAATAAAGTCGCAAGGACGCCAAAGGCTGATTCGGTCCACGACTGTCCATCCACAGTAGCTGAAGTTCGCCGATGCTGACGAGATCGGCATCGCTCCACAATTTCGTCAGGAAGAAACTACCGAGACGAAGGACACGACCGTTACTTATCCTTACTGCCTTATAAAATGTGTAAGGGCCGTGGCTGAAGCAAGCACCGCCTAGCAACTAAAAACGTAAAAAAGAATTCGTCAACATTAATATTTGAGTCGTTATGCTGTGAACATTATATGTAACAAAAAAAATTAATTAATTAAGAGATTTTTTCACAAAAACCAAACAGGTATAAAAAGTCAAATTTTCAAGAAACATAAAAATTTCTCTTCTTTGCAATAATATAACAGTGAAAAAGGTCACTTTAGAGCAAACAACGATCACAAATTAAACTAGTTTATTCTAAACTTAAAAAACATACGTAATTAATACTAGTTTTCACGATGATACACCTTGCAAGAGAATGTTTCAACTTACTTAGTTCTCATCAGTCCAAAATCAACAACAATAGTATAAAATGTATATTATATTGAAATTAACAAAATAATAGAAATGTCAGAATTGAGTTTAAACTATGAAGCCACACTGATGGTTGGACGTATATAAAAGAGTTTCTTCAAGTCCGAAATATCTTGTAACTGTTTCCTCATTCAAAAGTGAGAAAATAAGAGTCCAATGATAAAATTCAAAAAGATGGGGTCAAAATTGTTGTATATTGTCATGGGTTAACATGTTGTTATTATTTTCACAACGATTGTGCTGATTCGATTTTTTTCGTTAAAGAGTTTTTTTTTAATCTAAAATATATATATTTTTTTAAATCATTGTAAGAAGTAATCATTCTCCGTGAGCAATTTAATACAAAGTTCAAGATTCTCTCTTAAAAAGGAAGAATGAGATAGTAATATCGCTTTATCTACAAGATTATAAATAGTTCCAATCTTGTGGTAAAACGGATAATTGAAGAAAAATGATAAGCATAATATCTTCCCGAGAAAGTCTTTTTATGGAGAATCAATTAACAATGATTTCTCATCTTCAAATTGTTCATTATATAAATGGTAATTTTTCTTCGAACATACAGATATAAGACATAAAAATAAAACTTTAGATTTTGATTAATATTTTGAAGACGCAATTTAATCATAGAATGTTATAGTTTGTAAACTTGACGTATAAGTAAGCTATGCCATCGGGAGGTCCAATTTGCCATGCTAAGAAACTGGGACAAGCAGAGACAAGCTTTTAAAAATTTTGTCCTTCATACATCAGTTTGGACCCCTGGTGGTCAGTATTATAACAAAGAAAGCGTGATAAATGCGATTTCAAGCAGATTTGAGTGTTATTATTTTGTTAATATATATTATCTTTAAGTGTATAAAGAAATGCACACACACAATCGGACCTCGTATCATTCCAAGATTGAATTTGATATTGTGTTTACTCTTTCTTTCCTTTCAACCTAATAATTAGGTGTTTATAAAAATCTATTTATATAAAAATCTAGATTATAAACACTTTGTCTGTTATACATATTTAAAAATGTGAAATGTATGAAAAATTTGTGTCATATTGATTAAGCGTGGCCTTTCCGTCTACGTAAAACTTACGTAACAGAACTAATACTATCACTTCGTATCGACGATATTTAATATCACTTAATATCAATAATAATATTCTAGGTTTAAAAAGAAAAATAAAAAGTGAAAAATTTCTGAATTTAGTTCTTGCGGAAATTTTATATTTACTATCTCTATATATTTATCCCATAACTTTTTACATTTACCATTTTTTCTTATAAACGGAAGAACTTGTTTTATTCTTGTGTTAAAAAGGTGATGGAATAGTTTCATTTCAGGAAATATAAGAGCTTAATATTTGCTATTCTACTAAGAATAGCAAATATTAAGCTCTTATGTTTCCTATTTCTTTGTTTGATTTTTGCCGAAATAGAATTGTTTATGATGTGGAGGTACTAACAAAGAACGATTTGGCGCGATAACTCGCATTAAAAAAAAATGGACTTATTCGATTCTCGTGGTAAGCCTTCAATTTTACATGTATGTATATACACAAAGAAAATGCTACATTCTCTCTATATAATTTCTCGTAACGCTGGTTCTAATAATACACCATTTTATCGTTATTCGCGCACGCGCGCGTACCATTATTATCAATATTATAATTAACGTATATTAATATTTAATGAGAAATGCGTTTGGATATTAGAATGTATTATGGTGCAATATTAATCGGATGATAAACAGGTAGAATATGTGCGTCGAAATGCGACGAATCAGCGTGACAAAGAGCATCGAAAATTCAGTTGCAGATTAATTTCGGGGAATATTCGATTAAAAGGTATTTTCTTTCCTTTTTTTCGAACCGGTAACAGTTCGTTTGAGTCGGCTTTTAAAATACCATCCCCATGAATACGCATGCACGACCATCGAGAGAGATTCGTGGCGGCGAGGGATGAGACCACGGAAAAGCGAGGGTACACGACTCCCTAGAGGGTATTTGCAGCATACCGCGTAACACGAAACACGTGCACACTCGCGCGACATTCATCCGCTCGCTCGTACGTACGCACGCACGCACTCACGCACGCACGCACGCACGCACGCACGCACGTACATAATGCGAGATAAAACCCGGACGAGTTCGCAGAAGGAAATCTTTGCGCTAGAAGTGTGACTGCACAGCTTTCTACGTTTCAGGGAATGCGTGTAATTAAAATCAATAGAGCAGAATCGATGCGCGCGCGATACCGTAAATAATAAATAAATGACAAATACGCGCGTGAAAAATTAATTAAGCGTCCGTCTGAGTGTGTGAGACATCCGATAAGAAAGACTCTCGCTCAACGAAGGAATGCGACGCATTTCGCGCAGAAAAGAAAAAAGTGAATGAATGATAAAACGTAAACGAAGATTCGAACGTTGTGCGTGACGTTGATTTTACGTCGCTGTTCTCTCTTTCTTTCTCTTTTTTCCCTCCCTCCCCCTCCATTGCCCTAGAAAAACTATTTATTATTCAATGAGAAAAATGTTTATTATCCAGCTGCTGAAAAAAATTCCGTAAACGAAAGAGCAAACGAACCGTGCACGCGGCGCGTACAGTCCGTCGCATAACTTCCGAGATGGATGCCTCTCCTTCAGCGTAGCGGCGATTCGCGATCCGAGTCCTTTGCCTCATCGCATTTTTTTTTTTTACTAAGATTCAACTGTCAACGCGTTTTGGTGATAAACATAGTGATTTCAAATACGCGAGAATTTTTGCATAGAGACAAAAATTACCGAAAAAAACTAGAAACTTTTTGAATTAAAAAAAACCAGTAAAAAAATCAGTTTTTTATTCCGACCATTAAAAGCTGTTCATTCGAATATGTCTTTTTTTACATTGAACGTCATATTATTTATTTTAGAATTCAGTTTTCGCATACAGTCAAAAGATTTTTGTATAAAAATAGCTGTCAGCAGCAATTAAAATGTAGTACAATAATTATAAGTGGCGGTGACCATAGATATATTATACTTATTGTTAGTCCAGCTTCGAAAAGATATTGTATCAAAGACGTTATCGCCTCGATATTTCAAGATGTAGAAACATTAAATAATATCTATTGAAATAATATAGATATTAAAAGTTCTAATGACGAATATCAAGAAAAATATAAATTCTATATCTTTTTCTAAGATTTTGATTAAAAAATCGGTTAAAATTTTTACTATAGAAAAATCAGTTTTTTTTACTCCGAACTAAAAAAACTTGTTTTTATTCTACTCTTGCATAGGAAGTGCGCAGAGAGAACATCTTATTGGAATCATTCCGCAATCGACGAGCGAACCCCGAAATTGGTGCCGACAGCACGAATATTCTAACAACGAAATCAATCGCGTCTCATCGTTGATCAATCGCGTTTCGAGCGGGTTCACGAAATGACAAATGCCGTTTTTCTCGTTCCTTTTTTTTCCTTCGCATTCGGCACGATCGAGTGGTTACAGATGTCGAATATCGCGGCGTACTGACGTAACAGACGCGGTATCGGCGTGAGCTTTCGCGGCTGCGAGACCGATCGGTCCGTCGTAATTGAGAATATATACTCGATACCGATACTACTCGAACGATCGAAGGGAGGGAAAAACACGACGAGGGATCCATTCTGGCGCTTTATAGCGCGGACTGTACGGGCGTCTGCTGCTTTGCAGCGGAGACTTGTCCATTACTCCCTTTGCTTTATTTATCCGGGCGAAATTTCAAATCGAATCGGATTTGAACGTAAAAGAGACAGCCGCGCAAAGATCGATGCTAAAATATTCACGTAAAAATGCCCCACCACATTTTTAACCAAGTCGATAGGAATTCTCCCTGCGATTTATCGTTTTATATTGTAACGACACGCGAGAGCGCAGTGGTTCCAGCGACGTATCGATTTCACGAAGGAAGATGATTCCGAAAGGCTCGCTTCGAATAACAAAGTCCTTTAATTGCCGATTAAGTAAATCCGATATTGGGTCATGTTAGTCGCGCGCGCGCGAATGGAATCTCTTGAAAACAAATGAAGAGTACGTTCCGATATGCAAAACCGTGTCGTTAAGTTGCTCATTATTGCGCAAATCAACGAGGAAGTACGCGAACGCGCTATCAATTTGCTTTCGCGTTACATAATTGAATCAATAATGGCATCGGCGATCATCGGTAGAGAGTGAGCACCACTGCCATAACTATTTCCAATGTTTTAAGAGTACAGTCGGAACCAAGAGTTACATCGGTGAGTGGCCGCGAGCGGCCGAGAGAGAGATCAGCCGAGGATGATATTTATAGCAGTTAATCTCGGTTCTCTCCGCCCGCGCCACCGCGCTGCCGCTGCACCGCCACCGCACGCGAAACTTACCGCCATTGATATCGCGATTGCATCTACGACGCTTTTTTATCTATACGGACAAGTGCACTGGCGCGAGATTCGTGCAACCACATGTACAAACACCTACACACGTATACCGCACATCGTACACGTGGGCACCGAATTTTTCAATCCCACCGATGCCGTTATTATTTATCGGAACGTGCCAATTACACGCCCTATCAGGAGTAGCCAAATATTTTTCCCCACGTACAGATGTACAATGCGGCGCGCATGCATTATTCATCGTGCGACGTACGTGGCCGCT